CTCAAACTCAGGTTGTCAGCTTGCACACAAGCACTTTACCTGCTGAGCAATCTCACAGGCCCCATTATTCTTTATTTATTGTGTGTGTGTGTGTGTGTGTGTGTGTGTGTTGCATGTGCGTGTGCATGCTATAGCACATGGTGGCAGTCAGAGGGGCACTGGCAGGAGTAGGGTCTTTCCTTCCACTACGTGCTTCCTAGGGATCAAATTAAAGTTGTAGGGCCTGGAAGAAACTACCTTTCTTCACTAGGTTTTTTTGTTTTTTTATTTATTATTTATTTATTTATTATTTATTTCATTTATTTTTTGGTTTTTTTGAGACAAGGTCTTACTGCCCTGATTGTTCGGGAGCTTGCTATATAGACCAGACTGGCCTTGACCTCACAGAGATCAACCTGCCTCTGCCTCTCAAGTGCTTGGATTAAAGGCGTGCACCACTATGCCAGGCTCATTTTACTTCTTGATTGACATGTAATATTTACATTTGTACCACACTTACGAAGTATAATGTGGTTTAATGAATATAAACAGTGTTGGTGTTGCTTTTTAATCCACTCTAACAATTTATTTTTGAATTGGTACACTTGGACCACTGACACATTTAAGATAATTACAGAAGCTGGGTTTGGTGGCACAGCCTGTATTTCCCACACTTGGGGGACAGAGGTGGAAAGATTTTGAATTCAAGGCCAGATTGAGCTACATAGTGAGACTGTCTCAAACAAGACAAGAGAAAATAAAATATTATTGATTAAGGAGGCTGGAGACAGGATCTCATGTAGCCCAGGCTGGTCTTTAGTTCATAGGACAACCTTGACCTTGACCTTCTGGTTCTTTTCCTGCCTCTACCTCCCAAGTGCTAAGATTACAGGCTTGGACTACCACGCAAGGTAAAAAGTGTCCTTTTGAATTTGCATAACCTTGAGAGAGAAAAGAAAATTGTCAGAGCAAATCTTTAATACAAAAATAATTCCTAGTTGGAGACATCTTAACCAGAATATGAAACTGACTGTGTTGGAATTGATTCACGTAACCCTCATGAAATTAGGAGATTAAAAATAAGAATTTTTTTTTTAACCTAAAATCAAAAGTTCATAGTAATAAGATTGCAGTTTCTGAAAAAACAAAGACAGGGGAGGAAGAGAACATGTTAATCTGCCGAGTCTGACTATGTGAGTTTGATTTCCAAGATCCACACAGATTCCTGTGGGTTGTCTCTGTCCTCTACAGGCATGCTAACCACATGTGCCCATGTATACACACACATATGTAAAAAAAAAATTTTTTTAAATACTCATTCATTTACAATGGAACACATAAATTTTTTTCTCTCTTCTAAGAATTTTTTCACACATATTATCAAAAATACTTTTAAAAGGGCCAACAAGATTGCTCAGTGGGTATAAGCTCTTGCTTCAAAAGCCTGATGACCTGAATTCAAACCCCTGCAACCCACACAAAGGAGGGAGAGGACCAACTCCACAAAGTTGTTTTCTGACCTCCACACATAAGCCTGTACACACATCTCTCTCACACACACACAACAGTAATAATAATAATAATAATAATTAATAAAAATAAAATAATACTTTTTAAAAAGTGTTAGAGCTGGATAGTTTGCTCGGTCGGTAAAGCGCTTCCTATGCAAGATGAGAACCTGAGTTCAATTCCCATAACACACATAAAAAGCCAAGTGTGGGAAGGTGGAGAAAGCTGATCCCTGAGGCTCGCAGGCCACCAGTCTAGCTGAACCTTGGTCAGTGAGAGACATCATCTCAAAAACCCACAGCACTCTCTGATATTCTCCCTTGTACTTCTCCTCCCCAGTCTCCTTTAACGTTCTTAATCACATCAATCTCTGAACACAGGAGGCTGGCTGCATGGCTCAATTCTCACTTCCTTAGTCTAGATGTTATAGTCTCGTGGTTTAAATCGTACTTGTTATTGTCTGGTGTGGAGCATTCCCACAAAAGGCTCAAGTGCTGAAGGCTCCCTTCCCAGACAGTGATGTTATTTTGGGAGATTCTGAAATTTTCAGTAGGTAGGGCCTAGCTAGAGGTAGGTCACTGCAAGCATATTTTGGGAAGCTGTACACCTGTCTCTTGTCTGTCTGTCTCTCTCTTTCCCCCTCTCTCTGCTTCCTGTCATGAGATGAGTTGCCTCTGCCTCATGCTCCCACCACAATTCTAGAAGCAAGAGTAAGGATTGTAGACTAAAACCTCTGAACCTGGGAATAAAATAAATCTTTTCCCCTTTCAGATTGTTTATGGCAGGAATTTTGTCATACTGAGTAAAGGCTGACTAACATACTACCTTCCTGATAATAACTACCAAATTTCTGTTTCCAGAATTTTCTGTTCAACCCTTTGTCTTGAACTCCAGTCCCTCATAATCTACTTGACCAGGCAGCTCAAATATGACTAGAACTAAATTCCTGATTCATATGAAACCCATTTTTATCTGCATTCAATCCCCTCACCAAATCCTATTCCAGAATACGACTTTGCTTACCACAGGAGGCCCCCTCATCCATAATTTTACTTTCTATCGTCTCAGTGACCCATGGTCAATAATGATTCAAAACATTAGATGGAAAATTCAGAAGTTTTAAATCATACACCATTCAGAATGTGATGAATCTTGTCGTTCAGCCCTGTTCCAACCTAGACATGACTCACCCTTTTGTTCAGCACATCCTCTGCTTACCCTAGTCATTAAGCAGCCTTCTTGACTATCAGATCAGGTGTCACAGTATTGATATTGCAATGCTTATGTTCAAGTAATTCCTATGCAACCCATGTCACAATACCTGCATCTTTCACCTTGCTTCATGTCACCATGCAGGTATTTTATCATTATCAAACCCTAAGGAGATGAGTGAATACAATAAAGATTTTTAAATAGGCAGAGAATATATTCACAAACCACTTTTTCCAGAAATGCATTTATGTCTTTTGATATGTGAGTTGCTGCACATATGTATGTGTATCACATACATGCCTAACGCTGGAGGAGACCAGAAAAAGGCATCCAATTCCCTCTAGAATTACAGGTAGTTGTGAGCCACCTGATGTGGGTGCTGGGAGACAAACCCAGGTCTTCTACAAGAGCATCAAGTGCTCTTAACCACTGAGCCATATCTCTAGGCCATGACATCATTACTTACTGTAAAACTGTACCTGCTCCTTTCCAGCTCTTCCTGCCCCTACCCAGTTTTATTTTCCTTCTCAGTAACTGTTACTATCTGACTGGATATATTTTAACTTAAAAATTTTTATCATCCTTATCTTCCTCTAGTGCTCTAGTGGAATATTAGCTCCACGAGGACAAAGACTTTGTTTTGGGTTACACTTTAAACATCACTTAACTATGATAATCTGTATATGTCTGCTGCATGAATCTTGAAAATGGAACTCTTAAACTGTGATGAAGCAAGCCAGGCATGGTGCCATATGCCCTTAGTCCCAGCACGCAGGAGGTAGAGGCAGGTGGATCTCTGTTAGATTAAGGAAACCCTGTCTCAAAAAGAAAAAATCCGATAAAAGCTAAGAGACTTGGGACTCTGTGATGGTTAGTTTTATTTATTTCATTTATTTTATTTTTTGATTTATTTTTATGTGCATGAATGTTCTGCCTGCATATATGTCAGTGTCTGACATGCAGTGCCCACAGAGATCAGAAAAGTGTGGCAGATCCTCTGGAACTGGAGTTATGGACATTAGCCACCATGTGGGTTCTGGGATTCGAACCCAGGTCTTCTACAAGAGTTTCCAGTGCTCTTAACTACTGTGATGGTTAGTCTTAATTATCAACTTGACATAATCTAGAATCACCTGGGAGTCTCAGTGAAGAACTATCTAAATTAGGTTGGCCTGTGGACATACCTGTGAAGGCTTTTTAAATTTATGTGTATGAATGTGTTGCCTGCATGGATATAAATGCACCTGTGTCATTCAATGCCCTCAGAGGTTAGAAGAGGGACTTAGATTCCCTGGAACTGGAGTAATGAATGGTTGTGAGCAGCCATGTGGGTGCTGGGACCAAATCCAGGTCCTCTCCATGAGCAGATGGTGCTCTTAAGCACTGAGCCATCTCTCCAGCCCTGATTATTATTTTTTGAATGTGTATGAGTGTATTGCCTGCACTTGGTAAGTGTACCCTTGTCATGCAATGCTCACGGAGGTCAGAAGAAGGCGTCAGATCCCCTGGAACTAGAGTTACCGATGGTTGTTAGGCACTATGTGGGTGCTGGGAATGGAACCGGGTCCAGAGAGTGTTTCTCTGTGTAGCCCTGAGCTAGCCTCAAACTCACAGAGATCCTCCTGCCTCTACCTCCCAAGTACTGGGATTAAAGGTGTGTGCCAGCATGTTGGGCTGAGATTTTCTTACGTGGGTTAACTGGGTGGCAGGACTCACCTTGAATGTGGGCAGCATTATTTCTTGAGCTGGGACCTGGACTGAATAAAAAGGAGAGGGCCAGCTGAGCACTAGCATGCATGAATTAACTCATCGCTCTCTGCTCTTGATGTGGATGTAACAGAACTAGCTGCTTCAAGTTTCTAGAATTCTATACCTGGAGTTGTGAGCCAAGTAAACCCTTTCTTCCTTAGGTTACTTTTGTCAGAGTAGTCTATCACAGCAACGGGAAGGGAAACTAAATCAGACTCCATAATGTCTAGCCTCTGGAACTGGGTGATTACCATTTCCATTCTAATAATGATGGAGACTATGAAAATCCTTGATCTTCCATAGCAAGTAAGTTAATTTGTGCCACAGGATGTGTCCAGTTTCTTCATTCCCTCATCATTCTGCAGCTTTTCTCCAATGTACATCCTATAAAACATTAGTTTACTGTCATAGAAAAAAAAATCCCAGTAATCAGTTCAGGCTACAAATTATATCTATAAAGAAAAATCTTACAGAACACTATCATATTTGGACAGAAAACAGAAACAAGATGTTGTTATGAGTAAGGGAGAAGAATCTCAAATCCCACTTACCCTGCACCAACTGTCTGGTCTTGGACAAGTTAATTTAGACACTGTGCTTCAGTTTTCTTATCTGTAAATTAGAGATTGGTACTTGTTAGAGCTGTTACAAGGATTTTTTTTAAAAAGGTACTGGTGTTTAAATCACTCAGCACAATATCTGACACAAAATAATCACAGAAGAAACAGTTGTTACTGAAACTACATACCACTGCTATGTTTTGAAGAGTGAAAAGTGGTATATTTTTACTTCATTACCTTTTGCAGCCAATTCTTAAAACTGAAAGATCAGCTGGATGTGGTGGGTAGGCCTGTAGTCCCAGCACTTGGGAGGCAGAGGCAGGCTGCCTCTGTGAATTCAAGGCCAGCCTGGTCTACATAGTGAGTTCCAGGATAGCTGGGGCTGCAGGGTGACCCTGCTTCAAAAAGACAAAAAAAAGACAAAAAAAAGAAAAAAAAGAAAAACAAAAACAAAAAAACTGTGAAAGATTATAAAGAATAAACGTCTTTTCTACGTGACCGTTGTTAGAAAATCTGGAGAGAAAACCATCTGCTTCATAACCCTATGTGTCAACTGTGGAAGTTTGCAATCACCTGAAGCCTAAATGGAAAGTGTGCAAATGCTGTCTTAACGTGGGCATCCCTGGACACCGTGATATTCCGTACAGTTAGTTCACACACACCCCACAGCTCCCACAGACGCCCAGACTGTGCACTCCATATGACCCGTAGGAACTTTTTGATGCTGCGAAGGATTTCACCTTTTTCTAATTATCATTTCGACCCAGGCCTCACAAGGACTCGGAAGTCTGGCTGGGGTCGGGGGAGAGCCGCTTCGGAGAACCCCGGATTAACCGCGCACCCCGCCCTCCCCAGGTCTCCCCTTCCGCGGTGGCAAATCCAGAGGGCATCCTCGCCGGATAGCACCAGCTTCGTCTGCAAGGCCCCGGGCCTCCCCGCCAGCACCGCCCGTGAGCAGCGACTAGACCCGTACCGGCTCCTCGGCCTGCAAGAAGCCGGGCGGCCTCGTCCCGCACACCCTCGGCCGGGCCTCGGGCTGCCCTCCACCGGCCTTCGGAGTCCGCAGAACAGGTGTCACCGGCTCCCGCCCAGGTGCTGCCCACGACCCGGTCCCAGGTACCTGCGCCCCAAGTAGCGGCGACAGCTTGCTCCTCCTCTCCTGTGGCGGGGGGGAGCACGGAAGCCACGGAGATGGGCGGATTCCCCCGCGGGGCAGAGCGGCCTCGCGCCACGCGATTGCGCGTCCCCTGCAGGTGGGAGGCCGCATAGCGGCTCGGCCCGCTCCTGGGTTAGCCAAAGAACCCAGTCTGCAGCTTAGGAAGAGAAAGGTTTATCCAGTCTGAACCTCCGACCATTCCGCATTTTCACTCCCGTTTCTAAATATTCGTCAAATCCCTTCGACTAAATAGAAATTTCAAAACAAGAGTAAATTTATTAGTGCTTTACACATTAATTTAATATATTTGCTGACTGCTGGGGATATGTTTAGAATCCAAACATATTAGTAAATAATGGTTGAGTAATCCTGTTCTGGTTTTTTTTTCTATTATTAAAAAATACGTTGTGCCGGGCGTGGTGGCGTATGCCTTTAATCCCAGCACTTGGGAGGCAGAGGCAGGCGGATCTTAGTGAGTTCCACCCCAGCCTGGGCCTACATAGTGAGTTCCAGGACAGCTGGGGCTACAGGGAGACCCTATCTCAAAAAGACAAAACAAACAAACAAACAAACAAACAAAAAACGTTGTGACTACTTCACCCCTCTTTGTAGGATATCTTGATTTACTGTGACATGTGTACAGCCAACCCCCAAAAAAGGTGAGATACCCATTTACTAGAACATTCTTCCACATAAGCTTTTCTTTTTTCTGTTTATCAACTCCAGCTTATAGCCAAAATGATTTCCACCAAAAAGTAACTGTCCCTCCTTTGTATTATTGCACCATTCATCCAGCCAGACCATCATCTAGGATGACATGTATTCAAGGACTTAGTACAAACCACCACAAACCTAATCATTTTAAATAGCATTGGCCTGTGAATGATGGTGTCAGAAGGTCAGTGTGGGCAAGTTATATCGTTACCCTTGAATTTGGAGCATTTCCACAATGACTGACACACAGGACATATTTGCTCTGTAGTTCTCCACCCTTGCAGGACATTCCAATCACTACAAGAGCTCAGAGTTGTTCAGTAGCAGAGTCTAGGCATCTGTGTTTTTGCTGCTCAGGGATTTCTAATGTGTATCCGGGGCTAGGTGGAGAACTGCTGTATTAGATCTGAGGGACGGATGTAGAGAAGAAAATGTTTGCTCAGGGTAAAATTTTTACCAGAAAGGCCTTTTCTTACTAAGGGAAAGAAAGAAAGGATTTGGCTCTGCTGATTAAATGCTCCTACACGGTGGTAGAAAATGCAGAAGAATTTTTTGAAAAACCATTTATGAGAACACTTAATTGAACACTTATCAGAAAAGACTCAAAGTAATCTAGCAACCATCCTGTGGTAACCAGTTGTCTACGAAGAAAGAGATGTGATCAGAATGGGAGGTGTGTTTAAAATACTCAAAGTGCATTTTGTTCTTTGTAGTGCTATAGAATTGCCAGGAGAGGGAGACATGCTCCTGAAAAACATAGCTCCCATAGGTATCCCTTCCCCACCCAAGACCTGGGAAACCAGGAGATACTAGCCTGGGTTCTCCGGCATAAACACTGACTGAGCACTCAATACCAGACAGTAGCACATCTTTACTTGCAGTAGATTTGGATTCATTTTAGTCCCTGTTTAAAACAATTAAACCTGGAGAAAAAAATGGGGGCTGGAGAGATGATGGCTCAGCAGTTAAGAACACTGGCTGCTCTTCCAGAAGACCCACGTTCCAATCCCAGCACCTATACGGCAGCTAACAACTGTCCATAACTCCAGTTCCAGAGGATCAGTAACCCTCTTCTGACCTCTGTGGGCACTGCATGACATGGATACACTTATACACATGCATGGATGCACATATACACATACACTCATACACATAATTTTTCTCTTTTTGGTCTTTTTGAGACAGGGTCTCCCTGTAGTCACTGATGGCCTGGATTCACTATGGAGACCAGGCTGGCCTTTAACTGACAGAGATCCACCTGCCTCTGCCTCTCAAGTGCTAGGATTAAAGCCACCACACCTAGCTCTTCTTCTTTTTTTTTTTTTTAATTAAAAGAAATGATGTGGGGCTGGAGAGATAGCTCAGAGGTTAAGAGCTCTTTTACAGAGGCCCTGAGTTCGGCTCCCAAGCACCCATGTTTGGTGACTCACAACTGCCTATATCTCCAGCTCTAAGGAGCTGACTTCTGTGGGTGCCTGTACTCACGTGCACATACCCACACACAGACACACATACACACACATATACACACACGTAATTAAAAATAAAATCTTTTTAAAAATTATATGTGCTCAGGCAGTATACAGTTTTACAAAACTGAGGAAAAATATGAAGCCTATGAGAATATTTTCCTCTAAGAACCAGCATAACTAGAAAGTGCTCAACCAAACTTTCAAAGTGAGAGCTCTTTCTCTTTGTTAATTATGAATTAAAATCTTAGAACTTGAACTTTTAGAGTTAGAACACTGCTGGCATCCTGGGGAGAAGAAAAAGAGCTCAGCTCCTTGCTGTAGCACTTTGTTGCTTTTCTTTGCATGTCCCCACACATGTCAGAACCATACAGGTTTTCATGCACAGATGAAACAAACAATGCATTCAACAGGAACGCAGATCGTGTCTAGCACTAATTAAGCTTCCCTACCAAATCTACATAGCTGGCCCTTTGTGAGTACCCTTTGCAAAGATTCAAGCAAATACCATGCAAATCCTTTCAAGGTGACTTGTGAAATGCTGGGCTCTGTGGGGGGTGGGGGGTGGGGGAGAACTACAGTGCATATGATAGGATTTGTTAAGTTATGGCACCTTACACAATTGTGCCAGTTGTCCAGGAAGTGAAGGCTTAGAAGGGGGTGTTGGAGGATCAATAAAAAGTCACAAATTATGGGCCCATAAAGGCATGCTTGCCACCAAGTCTGATGACTGAATCCAATTCCTGAGACTCACATTATGGAAGGAGAGAAGGAGAGAATCAAGTCCTGCAAGCTGTTCTCTAACAACTTGTAATGTGCACGTGTGTGTGTGTGTGTGTGTGTGTGTGTGTGTGTGTACACACACATACACTAAATAATAAACTAATGTAAAAGTATTTTTTAACTTGCAAACTAGTTTCTGTGAGAATTCTGGGAAGCTAAGCATGGCTTGGGCCCCAGAAGTGAAAATAGCTTCCTCTGTAGCCACTGCCTCTGGGAGGCCTCCACCATGGGCCTGTTGATGGACATGGGGTCTGGAGGTCAGCAGCACCAGTGGTCCAGAAGAGTGGGTGTGGGGTGGACAGGTGAGGACAAGTGGAAACCTATCAGCACCTCCGAACCTGTATGCCACTCTACCTGACTGTGAAAAGACCTTCAGCTACAATGTGCCTTACCTTACTCTGTCTTTCCAACTTACATGCAACGTCCTCTCTGGTCCACTTCTAAATTGGAGCCATTCTGGGAAGGGCAAAATTCTGGGAAACATAGTTACCAACATAGCCCAGCTGACATAACATAGCAAAACAAACAATTCAGGACACATACATGTTCATTCAACTAATTTTGCAGATGGGAGAAGTGACAGAAGCCAGCTCAAGTAATTCACCTAAACCCCATGGATAGCTAGAGGCTGAAGCAAGCTCCAATATCAGTTGAGGAAGAGAATGGAGGTCAGAGGAATCACCTTCCACCTCCATATCATGCCTGTCATCTTTTGTGAACTTAAGTACTCTGAAGTATTGCAAGCAGAATTGCAGAAAGTTTTCATGCATTGCTTATGAGTTCCCTTCCTATGCTAAGAGGCAGTGAGCAGGCTATGTGCCTTCAGTCTGCACAAACCAGAAAATCTTGATTTTGCAATCTCTGAGTGCCTGGGTACAGGGGCTTTGGGGTAAGAACAATGTGATATGGACTACTAGGCATTTGAAGCAGAGCCTTGCCTGGAATGTAGGGTATGTATGAATGTGATTTCGAAGCCCCCCAAAACTGTTCTGAAGAGCCCTGCTACACATCACTGAGAATGTCAGTGACACCCTCCTCAGTGCCTAAGAAATAATGATTTCCATGTTTGCATATTTATTTATAGATAGGTTCTCTCATTGGACTGGAACTTACCAAGTAGTGTGGCCAGTGAGGGATTCACATGTTTCCATCTCCCTAGCTTTGGGATTACAAGCATGAACTGCCATGTCTAGCTTTCTCTTTCCTTCCTCCCTCCCTCCCTCCCTCCCTCCCTCCCTCCCTCTTTACTTTTTTTACATGGATTCTGGGATCAAACTCAGGTTCTCATGCTTGAAAGGTAAGCACTTTATCAGTAAAGCCATCTCCCTAGTCCTGGTCATTTATATTATTATTCCAATGTAACCCCAAAGCTGGGCATGGTGGTACATATCTGTCATTATGGCACTGGAGAGATTGAGTCAGGAAGATGGTGAGTTTGAAACCAACCTGGGCTACACAGTGAGATCCTGTCTCAAAAATAAAGTAAAACAACAACCCAAAACAAAATTTTAAAAAAGCAAATGATACCCCAGAAACTCTAGGTTAATCTTGTAAGTTTTGTGAAAAGCAGCCAAGAAGAACAACAGAAGATTATTCTAGAGAAACTCCTGGACTAGGCAGCTCTTGCCTTTTCTTCACTGTTTTCTGGCCCCCAGTTTCCCCTTCTTTTTTTTTAAGATTTCATTTTATTATTTTTATTTTATGTATATGAGTGTATTGCCTGCACATATGTAAGTGCATCCATGTCATGCAATGCCCGTGGAGGCCAGAAGAGAGCATTGTATTCTCTGGAACTGGAATTATAGACAGTTGTTAGCCACCATGTGGGTACTGAGAATTGAACCCTGATCCTCTGTAAGAGCAGCCAGTGTTTTAACTGCTGGGCCATCTTTCCAGCCTCCCAAGTTTCCCTTCTAGCCATTTTAAATTATCCTGCTTCTTAGAAATCACACTAGTTCAGGGCTTGTTAAGTCTGGGCACAGGAAAAGTTAA